AGGGAGCCCAGGCTGGGGATTGGAACCCGGGACGCAGAGTGTGCACACCACCATCTCTCGTGGGTGTCTCTGTTCTAACGGTTTTCTGATTTAAACCACGAGAAAACCGACCGCTCCGCCCAGTCTCGCTCAGTAACCAGTGAAGAGAAGGCATCACCGTGCAGGCGGTCTGGGCGAGAAATGCAGCAGCGCTGGCACCAGCCAGCAGCCGGGCTCGGAGCCTGAAGGGCACATGGGAACCATCACCTTGTGCGATCTCTCCCGGCCGTGCTGGCTGGACAGCTCCGCCTGTCTGCTAGATCCACATGGCAAACATCTGAGAGCCGTGCTCATCATCAAAGGTTTCACGACGTTCGTAGAGTCTGCACCTCCCTCCAGCTTATGTGGAGGAGCTCACAAGATCGGCCTTGGAGAAGCCAGTCCTGTCTACAGCTCGCCTTCCCCGCCGGCCGCCCTGGGAAAGGGGACCACCTCCCGGCCAGCAGGATGGGCAGCGTGGAGTCTCTGAAGGCCACTGAGCAGAGAGCCAGGAGGCCGGGCTGAGTCCTGGCTCCGCCTCTCTGAGCGTCTGTGTCCCGGGGACAGGGCTGGCCTAGACCGCGGCTGAGGGGGCTCTGCTTTGGCGCTGTCCGGAGGGACATCAGAGGCTGGTGAGGCTGGGTGTTCTTGGACTTGGAAGGGTCCCTTCGGGCTAGAGCTCCCTGGTGTTCAGGGGAGCGGCAGGGCAGTGTCTGGGCTCTGGGAAACCCAGGGTAGCTGAGCTTCCTTTCTGATGAGCTGGGAGGATTAGGGAGACGTGGGGGGGGAGGTGGGGGGCAGGAGGCAGAGTGCAGAGGCTCCCCACAAGCTCAGTGTTAACCTCAATGGTGTTGCTTCCTTTGTTGGCACCTTCCTCCTCCTCACTGAAGGACGCAGTGGAGAGAAGCCATTCCTGGTTCTTGCACTTCTCTCTCTTGCCTCATCCCAAACCCTGTTGGGGAGGATTAGGTGTGAAGCTTTGGCGAAGAGCCATGGTTGCCCGGGCACTGGCACTAGGCACCTGGGAGACAGGAGGGGCCGAGGGACCTGGGGCAGTGCTCGGCCAGAAGCGGGTCCTCTCCAGGCCCGGCCCGGCCCAAGCTTAGCCAGGCCAGCACCTCTAGGCTGGGATCTTGCAGAAAGACAAGGGGAGTCTCTGGCCGTGTGGTCTCAGAAGCGTCCTTTCTGTGCCAGGCTCTGCTGTGGCTCTGCAGGGCGGCAAAAAGCCCGTCCTTCCCCCCCAACCCCCTGAAGAATAGCTCTCTCCTCTGGTCCCCCAGGTGGTGGGCTGTGTCTCGCTCCCCGCTCCCCTAACTCTCTGCCCCTACCTGCCACCAGTTCAGATCCTGAGCACCTCTCTCCCCACCCCTCGCCTCTGGGCTGGGACCGTCATGCCATCCACCACGTGACACCTTGACCTCATTCCCAACCTGCCGCAGGCTGGTCCCACTCTCCACTCTTGTTTTCTCCCAGAAGATGCGCCTTGGGTCCGAGCGAGCGGCGTTTCTCTGGGAGGCCATCTCTCCCGCCCTGCTCTCCTGAGGGAGCAGGCATGTGCACAGATGTAGCAAGCTCCCCTCCCACCTCTGCCCAGCCTCCTTACCTCACTGCTACCCGGCTGTGTCTGAGGGCCGGCCAGCTCCCCGGTTGGTGTTCTGTGGGACAGCCGGGGGCGTGGGCGCTGCTTCCTGTGTGACTTGAGGCCTGGCAGGCCTGGGAGGCGGAGGGAGCCGTGGCTGCTGGCGAGAGGAGCTGGTGCCAGGTGATCGCCGACAGTGGAGGCCTAGAGGACATGGCTGTCTGCCCTGGGCCCTCCTTGCCCCCGAGCACGGTGAGACCCTGCAAAAGCCGGCTGGCGGCCACTGCTCAGGCAGGACAGCGCCGTGTCGGGAGCGGGCCCTGGCGTGGGGCCACGTGCTGAGACTGCGTAGTAAAAGCAACTGTTTTTGCCAACAGTGGTGTGTGGCTCCGTGAATTTTTCTTCCCACACTCTAGGGCCAGACTGCTCTGCATGGACCTGGTCATCTTCCCAAACCCATGGTGCTTCCCCCCGCCCACCCCAGCTTCCAGGACCCCACTCAACCTAGACCCCACGGCGGGAGGGATGGGCGGAGGCTGTGGCCCGGACCGTGCTGACACAGGGTGGAGTGGGGCGAGGGAGAGGGAGGAGCCAGCACCGCGCTGGGCCAGGTCGGGGAAGGCCAGGGCGCTGGCAGCCGAGTCGTCTGGCCGCCTGTACTTGGGTCTGTGACTGTACTCTGCCTGGCGCTGTGCGCAAGGTCTGGAAACATACAAGGCTGCCCAGCCGACTTACTGTAAAGTAGCTGGAGCCATGGGAGTGCTGTATGGATTAAAAAGTACTGAACTACCAACACTAAATGCGTGTGTGCGTATCGCTTGCTTCACTCGTGCTGTGTCCCAAATGGTTTTGGTCTTCCCGGAGGTGGTCAGGCCCAGATCTGTGTGCGAGCGACATGCACCCTTACACACACAGGCACAGCCATCCACCCAGGGTAGGGAGGCACCTGACGAGGTGGAATAGGTAGGAAGTTTGGGAATCAGACCTGAGTACAAACGGCCTTATCCCTGCTTGCCAGCTGTGTCACCTTGGGCCCCTGTCATCACTCTGAGCCTCAGGTGTTTAGAGATAATGTAAAATGTGTGTGTGTCTGAGTATAGTGGCTGGCTCTGTACTAAAAACATTTTTTATCTCCCTGTGAAGCAGTACTTTGAAATGCAGGAGACTGTGGTGGACTGAATCCTGATGACAATTTCTTGAGAGTTTCCCTTTTGGGGCCTCAGCCCCCCAGGAAGATGGGCACTGGGCGGCGCTGGGCGCCGTTGCCTTGCTAGGTACGCGGGGAGTGCGGCCCTCCTTCACTGGGTCCTCCTCACACTCAGCCCTCTGCCACCTGGCAGGAAGCTTATTTGACGTCAGGCAGGTGAGGACACACGTGGCTGGATTCCTTCGCATTTGGGTGGGGAAGGAAGGGAAGGGAGAGGCCAGGTCCCAAAGCGCCATGTGTTAATTCTGGATACCGCCTTTCCTGGTCTCGGGGCATATGGCCCCTGGTGGTGAGTTGAGGAATGGGCGCAGGCGGGGGCGGGATGCAGATCCCATGGATACGTCACACACATCTGGACTACTTACTCGCAGAGTGAAACCAGGGCAGGCAGTGTTGAGAGCCACTTTATTGACATGAACAGGGAGTTCACTGGGCAACGCTACAGAACAGCCACTAGGCTGTGGAAAGCGTGGGTGGTCAGGACAACACTGGCTGTGGGAAATAGAGAAAAAGCCACGTGCAGGTGACAGGGTGTAGAGTTCCATCAGCTGCAGGACTGAGTTTGCTGACTGTGTTCGATGGTGTTTCACAGACCGAGCACCCGTTCTGCAGTCTCCCCATCGTGCACACCCCCAACGTGCAGCGCTCGCCACGCGGTGCGCGGGAGGACGAGAGTATTGCTGGCGCAGGCTTCGCTGGCCTGTGGCCGGGATTGACTGTCATCTACAAGACAGACTTGCGTAAGGTGCTTATCCACTGGGCCCTACTGAACTCAAGGAAGGGGGCAGCTGAGCACGCGTTACCTACCACAGTAGTTTCAGAGATTAGCCAAGTCTTGGATGAGAATTTTTTCGGACCTAAGACCATGGGGCACAGTGAGGGTCTAGATTGGTGCTCGACACGGTGGGTGCCAAGGCGAAGAATGAATGGATGATGGGAGCAGTGAGCACACCTCATGCTGCTCCCATAGGCCTGCAGTGACCAGGTGAACTCACTGCACTAGGGATCTTTCATTTACAAAAGGTGGGGAAGGAAGCTTTGTTTGGTGTTCTCTCTTCTCCATTTCTGTGTGAACTTGAGAAAGGGGAACGAGATAGCGTATCTGAAGTGGGTCTCGCTCTTGCTGCTGTTTCTGCAAAGCAGCGGTTACGTAGCCTTGCCCTCTGGTTCACTCAGGTGGGCGCACAGATCGCGAGATGGCTGGGTTTTCCTTTCCGTCTAGTCGGTTGGGGGAGGAGCTATGTCTCGTAGCCATTCACTGCTCTAAACATATTTCCAGCATATTCCTGCTTTGAAAATTCCTTTCTGCCCGGCCAGCATGGCTCAGTGGTTGAGCGTTGACCTATTAACCAGGTCACAGTTCAATTCCCATTCAGGGCACATGCCCGGGTAGCAGGTTCGATCCCCAGTGTGGGACGTGCAGGAGGCAGCCAATCAATGATTCTCTCTCATCATGGATGTTTCTATCTCCCTCTCCCCTCCTCTCTGAAATCAATTTTAAAATTTTTTTAAAGAAAAATTCCTTTCCTACTAACATTTCTAGTTTGGCATCTAAGGAAACCAGAAAGTCAGAGACTCAGAAACCTGGGTGTGTAAATGTTTCGGGATAGAAAGACGATAAAGAACGATGCTTTTAAACAGACTGGACATGGAGGGACCGGCACTGACTGGGAAGTCCTTCCACACAGGAGTGGACTGTGACACACAGGACAGAGCTAACAGTAAAGGTCAAGGTCAGGGGGTCAAAGTGCTTCGGGGCCAAGTGAGTTGTGCAGTCATGGCTCTTACGCAGCAGGAAAGGGAAAATGAGACCCAGCCTGAGTGAACTGCGTTGCCGAGGACCGGTCATGGGAGACAGCCAGCACCAAGGCCCCAGGCTGGGCTCCTGAAGCGGTATTAGCCCTTGGCAACATCTCCAAGCCCTTTAGCAGGAGCCGCGTGCACACGCGCTCCAGAGCGATGCCCACTCCGCCTGGGCCTGTGGGGACGTGGGAGAGATGGGCGGCGGGACCTGAGGGAGGCTGGTGATCACAGCACCCGCAGGCTCACAGTCACCCAGGTCTCCCGGGAGGAGGGGAACTGCAGTTCAGGAGACAGTGACACGCACACTGACTAGAAAGGTAAAAGCAAAGTGAGGAGGACTCCTCACGCACGTGTCCGGCACCTGCGGGAAGCTAAGTGGAGGAGGAGCCGTCGTGGGGTTGAGGGTGAGGGGACAGCAGGAGAGGCCGCGATGAGGCGGAAGTTAGCAGATGAGAGGGGAGGAGGCAGCTGTGAGCTCAGTGGAGAGAACTGGGTCCCAGCTCCCCCTTACAGCTGTGTGCGCTGAGGGTGTGACGACGCCTCAGCTTCGGACTCAGTTTCTCCACTTACAACAGGAGCGTTAGCGATATTTACCTCGCAGGGATGGTTGTGGAGAAGGAAAAGGTCATTGCAGTGAAGGTGGGTTGTAAACCATATAGCTCTGATGAAAGGTGAGACGTTAGAAAGCAAAAGCGGAGGATTCTTACAAAGGGGACAGAAGAAAAAGACACAATAGGTATCATGCAGCTCCACTAAAACCCACTCAGGAGACATTGGAGTTTGTCTGATAAGAGGCAGTGGCAGCCATGCGTGCTCCTGGGTGAGAAGCTGGATGCAGGGGCTACGGGAACAAGAGGAAGCGAGCTGCAGGGAGGAGCTGGCTGCTGCACAGCCAGCCGCGTGGCTGCCAAGGCCTCCGTTCTCCCATCCGCCTAACTATAAAGAAAGAAAAATCTACATTCCAGAGGATTATGTGGGGAACTGCCGGGGAGAAGCGCCTTGAATTTATTAGAAGTATTTTCTTCAAGATGTGAACAAGGACTTAGGGTCAGCGCTTCCCCGGGGAAGGAAGAAATGAAAAAAAGGGCATTTGTCCGGCGAGGCCCAAAGCCAATGGAGTCTGATCTTTCCCATAAACTCCTCCGGATCTAAGAGCCACTCACCCATCCCGTCCCAGCCCCGCTCATCTTCTACTTCACAAACACCCTCCCTCTCCTCACCAGGCGCTGAAGGACTTCACACATGGACCAATCCCTCCATTGAAACGAAACATGAGATTTTGACTAAAATGTAGCCAGTGTTCATCTGCTCTCCCAAAAGCTAGGGGGAAGCCTGGACATTACAGATCCCCAGGTGAACTGTTGGGAGCCACGAGCCCCCCTCCCTCCCGTCCCTTCTCTCATCGGCTGATGGTCCATGTTTCTTAGGTGTCACCCCGAGGCATTCTGCTGCACGATGCTCAGGTCCACACGCCCTTCCAGGGAGGAAATGCCTCGCGTCTGTTCCCGCCTGTCTCTGCCTTCTCCGACTTCCAGCCGCCAGATCAGAGCTACCCCCGCCAGGCAGCCCGCCCAGTCCGTGCTTGTGAGAGAGTCACGGTCATAACCAACCTCAGTTCCAAAGTCTTTTCCAGGATAAAGTGCCCATCTTGGGAAGCTGAAGCTGGGCGGTGCCTAAGGTGACACCCCCTCCAGGGAGTCCTCTGCAGTCAGGCTGAGCTGAGCCCTGCCTGAGTGTCAGCTGCCCCCACAGCGTGAGGAATGCCCGTCCACGGGCATTTGGAGAGGAAGG